AACGTTCAACAGAAGGACTCTATTGGTCCCTGAAATCAGTGCTATTCTGAGTCTGGACTTCTTTCTTCCCATATCTGTGTGGCTGGCACATAGAAAAGCACAGGCTGAAACCAAATAGTTTTGTCCCATGACATCACAGTGCCCCAGTCATGTCCATCTGCTGGGTTCCTTCTTTACCATGGCTCACTATCAATCAGAGGGTCAGCTCTATCAAAAGTGACGTTTGGCATCACTTTCAAGCTATACCATGCCTTTGGTGGCCTTGGTATCCCACCCAGTGAGTATTCACTCATTTCTCTGTCCTGTCCAAGGTGATGATCACAGCTCTCCCCTCTCAGGGTTGCAGTTTCTCACTTCCTTCCACTGAGGAAGCCTTCAGTGGGAAAGGCAGTGAGCTGTGCTCTGATCCTTCCACCTGGACGTGGTCCCGTCTTCCCTCCACCCCTTCTGTAGTCTTGTTATGCAGGGTCTGTTGAACAGGGGATAGACACAGATCAGACTCAGGAAGTGGCCCTTATCTGAATGGAGTTCAGAAGCTCTGTTCATTGCATTTCTTCCTCTTCTGGGGACTACCTTCATACCTACTTTGGAGGACACATCATTGAGTGTGCACCTCCTGCTGTCCCAGACACATGGCCTCCATACTGATGTCTTAAGAGAACTCCCTCCCACCCCCAGCCACTACTGCTTACGTGTGATTTGGACTCCTTCCCACTGATTCCACCAAACTTGCAGGGTGACAAATGAAGCCCCAACTCCACCCCATAGCCACTAGTGGCCTTTTGGAAGCCCTGACCCTAGTAATTTGGAGGTGGGGGTTTTTTTCCACAGGTCCGATCAGCCAACCTTAAGGTGCTCTGAACATGACCCACCCTTGGCTTCCAATCCCCACACTTTGCAATGTTAGTATCCACCTTCTTAAGGGTTGGTGGCCAAAGCTCACATGCCTGTGGCCCTGGAGTAGCACCCAGATGTGTCACGAGTACAAAGTCTATGAGAAATGAAAAATGTCAAACACAAAGAAATGAAAACTCAGTTTCTGTTTTAATGGTTGCGTCAGGGGAAGGATTTGTTCAGCCACAGCATTTTCCTGGGCTTCTCATCAACCTCAGGGAACTTGAGTGCAGGAGTCACGTGGTATTTGGGCAGTGGCCAACTCCACCCTGGTGTGGCTTGGGTCAGTTTCCACAGCCACCGTGCCAGGTGCATATCACTTCTGTAACTCCCCAGTTGTCTACCTAGTAAAACGCTCAGCAGGGATTTAGAGGCCGGGTTGAGTTTCAGGTATTCATCTGCCTTTCTCCTGAGTCTTGTGGAGCTGGTGCTGGAACTGACTTCACAGTGTTGTTTATCTGTGATCACTGGCCTCCACAGATGGCTGCAGAAACAAGACACAACAAAGAACACCCGTCAGCAAGGCTGGAGTCCAGAATTACCTTTAGGAGAAACCCCAAGTGACCCAGAAAATCTTTGTTTTGGTTCAATGACACACATTTGTCAATTGCTCTTTCTATTTCCAATCCTTACAGTGAATTTGGGTATTCAGTATGAGAAGACCCCTGTCATATATTCCTGCACATTTTCTCTTCAAAATAATTCTAGGGCATGGCCTTCCAGGTGCACACACATTCACATTCTTGTTGTGATTTATGTTGAGATTGCACTAAATTTATAGATTAATTTAGAGTACAGTGGACACCATTTCTTTTTCTTTTTTTTTAATTCCCATGAAAGGCTTTAAAGAAGTCCACAAAGAAAAAAAAAAAAGCATCAAACCTCGATAATATTTCATTCAAATGGAAGAGTAGAGTCGGAAGAGCATACTCAGATGTCATCTTTACCATTACTATGATCCAGGGATAAAAATGAACCTTTCAATCTTTGTTACATGTTCATTTCATGCTTAGTAACTCCATGAGTTCTTGTTTGTGTGATACATTAGTTAATTGACATTTACCCCTTTAAGCAGTTTTTTTTTTTTAAGAGAGAGAGAGAGAATTTTTTAATATTTATTTTTTAGTTTTCGGCGGACACAACATCTTTGTTTGTATGTGGTGCTGAGGATCGAACCCGGGCCGCACGCACGCCAGGCGAGCGCACTACCGCTTGAACCACATCCCAGCCCCCCTTTAAGCAGTTTTTATGCAAAGAGGTTTATCTCACATTGAGTCAAATTCCTCTCCAGCTGTCTCCTATTCTCAGACTCCTAACTTTGTAGAGTACAATGATTATTTTAAGCTACTGCAGTAGTGACCTAGTCTGAACGCTAAGCCAGTTCTCTGGAAAAGTTCTTTGACTTTGAGGCTACATAATGTGCCCCAGAAAAGATGTACAATGTTCTTTGGGGAAAAGAAGCATCTTGAAGTATGTGATTGCTTTGAGTGGGCACCATTTCAAGAATTAGTCTTCCTTTACAGAACAAAAAAATATTATAAATATTATTTTAATATGAGTATACGATCAATGTAACTCCACATCATGTTCATCCACAAGACTGGGATCCTACTTAATAATATTTCAAGACGCACTCTATTGTCATGTATATCTAAACCAATAAAAATGCATTTACATAATTAAATTAATTATTCTTTTAGTGCCCAAACAGGAAGCTCTTAAAAGCCACATGTGCATTTTCCTTATTGTATTCATAGATGCTTCATTACGTTTGTGACCGACGGCAATAGGACTTTTGTTTCTCTTCTATTGTGTAATTATTTGAAGGTTATGCACTTTCAATGCATTTCAGTGATATCAGACAAGCTCCTCTGGCCCACTTTCTGGGTCATGACCTTGGTTTTCTAGGAAGGTGATTCCTTGAAAAGAGAAAGACAATCTGCCACTTCCTTTGGCAGATTGTTAACCAAATACCCCACCCTAAATTGTTGTTCCTCTCCAATTAGTTGTAAGCACCCATCTCAGCTATCCAGGGGGCTTATGGGTTTCTTTGTGCACTACAAGGAAACCTGGACCATTAAGCCTTCCCTGCCAGTCAAGGAAAGAAATGTGTGACCTGGGTCCCTCTTATAAGCATCAGTTCCCTTGGTGATGCATGAAACAGAGGAAGCCACCAGTGTGGGGACAAGCTGCCTATTCCCAGAAGAGTCATTTTAGCTCACAGCCTGGTCCTCACCCTTGGCCCCGTGACACAGCCTGCAGGAATCCACATCCTACCTCTAGAAGATGTCCACCTGTGTCATTCCTTAATGCTAACAGTACACTTGTTCTACATCAGAGACCTGGAAGGTACCTTGGCTTCAGAAGGGTGACTCTTCATCTCAACACCCAATGTTTCTCCATCTAAACACCCACTGATGTGAATGGTGTCTTATAAAAGCATGACTGCACAGTCATGACCAAGTCTGGTCCAGAGGTTGACAACTGTGGCATTCCACCAGGAACCAAGCTCCTGATTGAAACAGGACTGAATAACTGAGCATTGCCCAGGGGCCCTGTGGAGATGCCATGGATGTGGTGAGGCACACAGGTCTGTTGGGAAGATTTTGCATACAGACCTGTTCTCAGAAGGTCTGTTGGGAAGATTTTGCACAAGCTAGGGAAAAGTTCTGAGGATGAGGAAACAAATGTTCTACCAAGGGAATGGCTAATGCAGATGTTCCCGTATCCAGATAATGTCGGCCTCCTTCCATGGCCCCTTCCACTCACCTAATCATCACTGAACCAGCTCAGGGGCAGGGGAGGCCAGTATGTAGATCCCACCAACTTCTGTGGTTCCAAGGTTCCAAGGCCCATTGTGCCTCACGGAGACTTTCATGAGGCTTAACCAATAAGGCTCTGGGACTCAGAGAACCTGAGTGAACCACGGAGACAGAGACAGTTGCCTCTCACTACTTATCCTGGTTGCCTCTCGCTCTGCTCTGCTCCGCTCCATATCACAGCTGCCTCTAACTCCTTATCCTTATCTTTATCTTATCACGTCCTCAATAACTCTCTTCCAGAGAAACCACAGTGGTCTTCAGGTAAGACATCCTGACATACAATGGTATCTTTTGGGCCACCACCCACATCATCTATGTGATGACTTCCAACCCTGCTGGGTACTGGGGAGGGCAGGGGACAGTTGTTCCTTCCAACTGATGGACTCTCCAGAGGGAAGTGGGTAGGGGCCCAGGCTGTAGATAGCACATTCTCACCTCCCATCTCAGCTCTGGGTCACCGAGGATGAATCCTTTCATCTCTCCTAGAAACCAAACACTGAGAACACCTTGGGCACCTACTTCTGGCCTTGCTACTTTGTCAGATTCAAACCAAGTACTGCTCTAGGCTTCTGGGGGTGATTCATGGGCAGCTCCCTGTGGCATTGGGGCTGGCAGTGGAGTGCAGGCTGGTGTGTGGGGGGGGGTGGCGTTTTGAGCTGTTTTGGACTCCATCTGCTCTGTTGGTGGCCAGTTCTGAGCTCTCAGGACAGACCTGGCCTTGGGAGGCCTACCTGCCCTCTCCTGATTCCTCACTGTTTTCCTAGCCCTGGCGTTTTGCCCTTCGAGACCTTAAACAGTACTTAGTTCATCATCAGTACTTAGTTCCTGGCCTCAGATCCTTTCCTTCCTGAGATGTCTGTGGTGGTTTCTCTTTAACTCTGTCCTTGGCACATTCAGGGAGCAAGTCAGACAAGTTCCTGCCTTCACCAAACTTGGAATGAAGCGGAATTGGCCAAGGGAGCTCACAGTTACCAAACAGCATGAAGGGTCCCATCAGTCAGGCAGTCAGAAAGATTCGTGAGAACTCACACATTTAGCAATTGAAATGGGTCGTGAAAAGGTGTCAATGGAACAGAAAACAGATACTAGGTATGGACCCATTTATATGACAGAAAGAAAGAACTGATAAAGTTGATACCGCAAATCAGAGGATGCCCCAAACCTATCTCTTACAACCATTGCTGGATGGCTCTGTGTGTGTGTGTGTGTGTGTGTGTGTGTAAGAGAGTGAGAAGAAAAGACCTTTGGTCCTGTTGATCATGGAGGTTTCTTTATCTTTTTCAGGCTTTATCAGTTGTGCTGTCTTCGTGAAGCCATTGGTAGAGTCCACCGGTCATGGACAAAGAAAATGCCGTGGATACTTCCACCCCACCTGAACCGAACATGGTGGAGAAGACAGATCCACAGTTCAAACCCCGTGGGGCCTCCAACAACATACTGACCTATTTAATCAATAGACAACTGGGGAGGCCCAGATATGATGTAGATCTGTCCAAGTGGGTGTGGATGCTCACATGAGCTACCCCACAGTGGAGTGGCCTTTGCCACAGTGTCATTTTGTCATGGGACTCCCCTATTCATCTTTATTTGGAACTATACATTTGAAAAAAATTACAACAAACCTTACCCATGTTTGATCCAATAATTAATTTGTGCTTAACTCCTTTTGGTTTAGTGTGTGTTTTTTGTCATAGTCGCCTTGGGTTACACTGTACAGGGGATCCCACCCATCTCAACACTCCATGTAGTGATGACAGGTAGAAAGGTTTTATTTTTCAACGTCTCCTTTACCCTTTTTTTAGACTATTGATCTGATATTTCCTCTGCGGGCTTAAAAAACTCTTAATCCTAAATTTGTATTTGCAGAGGCAGGACTTAATTGATAAAAAGAAGAAAATTTATATCTCAAAAACACAATTTAGCTTAAACATCATTGAGAATGGTCTCCCACAGCAAAGGCCCAATAAAAGCCAAATGGTTTAAATGTGAGGCTTGATATGGAGAATGATATCAATAATTTCCCTTATTTTTAGCCAGCAAGAGATGCATCTACAAATTGAAATTTTTTTATATAAAGAGCTAGAAGTCATACTTTGTGTAACTACCTAGTTATATCCTTGTTAATCTAATTTTGAAGTATATGTTCCCCTTTCAATGAATAAGTCAAAGAGTACATTTTATGCCACTCATCCTGGGAAGGCTTTTTTGAACTTTCTCCAAATCTTTTCAAATTTATAAACACACACTAACAGCAACACTAAAAAGACTAAAGAACACATTTAACAATTACATTAGACAAAAAGAAATCTAAAAGGCAAAAGAATACATTTTACAATTACATTAAGCCAGAATGCACTTTCCGTTTTGGGGGAAATAGATGGGAGCCAGAGTAGGAAAGAGTGGGAGAAAAATGAATCGCAATCAGAGAGGGGACTTAAATTCCTTTTTAAGTAAGCTGTGGGTTTTCACGAATCTTTCTGGACTGCCTTCATTACCTACACTGACTGCCTGACCTTTGCCCTCTGCCTCACAACCATCTTGAAGGGTAACCAACTAAAATCCAGTATTTCAGAGATCAGGGAACTACATAATTGTGACTGGTCCTGTTGTCTGAACCTGTAGTTGAGGGAGAAGGGAACTGGGACTCTGGGACAGGTTAGTTGGGGTCTGTGAATCTAGTTTATTGGAATTCAAAATCAGCATTATTATTTTAGTGATAATTGCAATTCATATGTGAGACCCTTAGCCAAGGAAAGTGTTTTTTTTCTTTGTTTTCATTTTAGTTTTTTGGTAATGCTGGGGAATGAACCCAGGGTCTCCTATATACTAGGCAAATGTTCTAAAACTGAGCTACATCCCTAGCCCAAGAAAACAATTTTTGAATAATAAATAAATTTGGCTACAATTATATAAAAATAAGAAATGTACTTTTGCCAAAAATGGCTAAAATTGAAGGACATAGAATGAAAGGTGAGTGACTCACCCAAGGCAGAGATTCAACCAAGAGATTTTATTGGGGGGGGGGGGTGGGCTGCTTGAAGGGGAAGAAAAGGAGAGGCAGAGAGAAAGAGAAAGAGAGCAGAAAGAGGAGAGAAAGAAGAGGAGAGAGGAAGAGGGCAGAGAGGGTGAGCTTGCAAGCTTGGGCTTAAGAAGGGTTGCGTAGGGGACGTGGCAGGTGCTGATTGGCAGGGTGACTCAGGAACAGCGAGCGGACACTGTGTCCACTGGGGATTGGTGGAGGAAACCTTTGAATTTGGCGCTCTTGCTCTTCGGCGCGGTGTCCTTCAGAGAGGAGGGGGAGGGGTAAGGGATTCCATGATGTTCTCCAAGAAGGGGGAGTCTCCCACAACCCAACACTCCTCCCTTTTGTTTTTGTGTTGGGAGCAGGGTGACGAGATCCTCTGGCTTTTTCCTGCTGGAGGGGCACGACAAGTGTGAAGGAAGGGAGGGATGGTCAGGGTGCAGGGACAAGAGAAGCATAGCTGTGAAGGCCAGGGCGCTGAAGATGTGAATTTCCTCGGGGCTGAAATCGATGGAAGTTCCTGGAAGCCATAGGTCATGGATAGTCTCCATCCAGTCCTTGTCCCTGCAGATGGGGGAGTCAGCCAGCTGTCCTGTCGGAGGGCCTCCATGAACTCCATGAACCAGCTGTGCTCCATGTGAGCCTAAGAACACCAAAGGTACCCGAGGCAAGGAGAAGAGGGAGGAGGAGACACCACATTAGCTTCTGGCTGGAGGTCCAGTGAGAGGGACTGGCTGAGAAAAGACCAGCGGCCAGGAGGAGGCACACGAGAGCGAATGGGCCTAGAAACCCTGGGTGACAGGCTAGTGACGTTCCCAGTCGTGTTTCCGTTGTGTAGCTCCACATCCACCATGGTGAACTCCGACAGCCGTCGGTGAGGCCTTCACTGTCCTCCGAGGGAGCAAGGAGCTGGAAATCCCTGGGGAGAGGCTGGTTAAAGGTCTGGCTAGACATGTTGCCTGTGTGGTTCTGCAGGAGCTTATGATGTGTGGGAGAAAGGCCCCAAACAAGAAATCCCAGGGAGAGGGCCATCTGGGGTGTCTGAGGAAGCAGACGGAGTAGGAGTGAGGAGGTGGGTGCCAGGAGGGTGGCGAGGAGCAGGGGGGAATGAGAGTGAGGCCTGCTGTTGTGAGGGTTTCTCGGGTTGAGGAAGGTCCTCCTCAGGAAGGGGGAAGGAACCCTCAGGCGTGAGAAGGGGAGAAGGAATCCTCAGGTGTGAGAAGTGGAGCTTTAGAGGATTCTCAGGGATGGTGGAGGAGGTGGGAGGAGGACGGTGGACGGTCAGTCTGGGCTCTCTTGGTTGGAGGTGGGGCCAGTTTCAGCCTGGAAATGTGAATTCATGAAATCAGTTTGCCTGGGGACTCCTGTAGGCGGACAGCGTTGGGAGTGCACAAGACAACCCTTAGGGGGTGCCGCAGTCTGGCTGGGCACAATCAGGAGCCACTTGTCAAAAGAAACTACCTTTATTTTTAGAACCACACACGCCAAACAAAACAGCCTCTCAGGAAAAACCCTCAGAGCCTCAACTGCCACCACCGGCTTTCCACAAGCCTCTCTCTCCCACACCAGCTTCTCTCCACCTCCCACAATCCTCCTGCTCTTGAGGCCGATTGGCTGGGTCACGTGGGCGGAGCCAAAAAAGTCCCCCAATGAGCAGCTCCGTGGTCTGAAAGGGCAGGGAAACAGCCCAATGAGCATCACCGCAGAGGAGCCAATCAGCTAGATGTTGCTGGGGCCGAGGAGCCAATCAGCTAGATGTTGCTGGGGCCGCTGTGAGCCAATCATCAGCCAGCAGCTGGAAGTTTGCTGGCAGCTGGAAGTTTGCTGGGGCCCCTTTGGCTGTGGCTCTCAACAGGGTTATATGACCACAGAATGCTCAGTGCCTGTGTCAACCATGAATGGTCCCCAACTGTCATTTCAACTGTGGGTTCCCAGGGGCCAAGAATCAAAGAGCCTGGTCTTCCCTATTCTGAGTCCATCCCAGCCAGGACAATAAGACTGCTGGTGCTGGGCTCCACTTGTTATTGGCCTTCCTGAATCAGCAGTGGGTTTTTCTGAGTGGGTTTTGCCTTTAAAGGTTTGGGCATTCATTTTTCCAATGGCCTACATCCTTGTGGTAGGCACATTGGTCCTTCTGCAGTGGGGGAGGGGGGACTTCCAGGCATCAGGTTCTCATGAGGTGGTCCAGGTCATCTGACTGGGTCCAGATATCTGAGTGCTGCCACCAAGAGGGATGCCTTTTGTTTCATGTATCTTTCTGCCTCTCTGTGCAGTTGGATCCCAGTTGATGACCTTATGAGCCACTTCAAGCAACTGAGAAGCATTCATACCTGCAAATCCCTCTGACTTCTGGAGTTTCTTCCTGATATCTGGACTGGATGGGGCTACAAAGGATGTGATAGCCATGCACTGATTGTCTGGGACTTCTGGATCTAATGGTATTAAAATTCAAAAGGCTTCACAGAGCCCCTCATAAAACTCGAAGGAGCTCCACTGGTTTCTGGAATGCCACGGCAGGTTTAGTCATGTTGTTGGGCTTCCTCTCACCCGACCGGACTCCTCAGAGGAGGATGGTTTGGTACTGCTCCCGGTGATTGTGTCCCTCTTCAGAGTTGTGGTCCCAGGCCAGGTCCTCCTCTGGGGCTGCCCTTCGTGCCCAGGCCTCAACATCTACCTCTTGTGCGGGGGCCTGTTCTTGGAGCCCCTTCTGGGCTTTGGTCAGAATGTGTCCTCTCTCCTCAGTATTGAAGAGGGTGAGGAGAAGGGGACAGCAGTCTCCACAGATCCATCGATGGGTTTGGAAGGTTGACTCCAGGTGATCTCCAGGTGCTTGGGGCTTTTCTGAGTATGGAGGGGTTTGGTGCTTCCAATTCAGGAGGTCAGTGGCGTTGAAGGGCTGATAGTAGAAAATGGAGCGCCCTTCTTGAATGGTGCTATCTGCATTGACCTGTGGAGGCCCAAGGGTCTCATGCAGGGACAGCTGCAGGGCTTGTGGCTGCTGAGTGTACCTCGGTTGTCTCCCCATGGGTTCTGGCCTAGGGTCTTCTGGCAGAGGGGGACTGTGGCCAGTGAGTCAGATGGTGGTGGAGTATCAGACAGTGAGTCCAGTTGACTGGGAGCTGGTGGCAGAGTGGTGGGTATGTAGGGTGGCAGGGGCAGTGGCTCCTCTTTGGAGTCCCTTGATGGATGGGCTTGGTGGGCTTTGGAGTCGCCACGTTTCTGGCTAACAAAACCCTACACTGGCCCTTGGAGCTGATGCAGAACTGCACCCATGGGGCAGAGTCCAGGCAATCTGGAGCCAGGA